ATGAAGACATGAAAGAGAGTCAAGATATGTTAAGACAAAAATTCAACATGTTCAACTATATCCCTGGAGAAACCCAGGAAGCTTAGTTGCAGCGATTTACTACACTTACTACTGAGATGAATATAGCTGGGATTTTCTTGACTAAATCTGAGATAAATAAAAAGTTGCTGAATGCACTTCCAAAGTCGTGGGATATGAACGTGGATGTCATCAAGAAGACAAAAGATCTCAATCGTCTTAGTCTTGCTGCTGTAATTGAAGAACTTGACGCTTTGAAGTGTGGAAAAACAATGAGTTCCGCAAACCTTCCGGTCAATGAAGTTTCATGTACTCCAGCTTGTGAAACTACGATTAAATTTCTTCGGGAACAAATTGATTTATTAAAAAGAGAAGTTGAGGACCTGAGATATGAAGGATACCAACTCAGGAAAGGACAGAAACCCCTAAAGGCCCAGTTAGAAACAAAAATAAAGGACTTTAGGAGACTTCAGGAAGACTATAGTAACAAATGTGAAAATTATGATTATATCAAGAGACAGAATGATGAGTTAATTGCTGAGCTTGATACATTAAAAGGACAATTTGAAACTGCAAAATTTGATTTTAAAAGGTTTGATGTATCAAGCGAGGTAGTTGCCAACATGATTGACCATTGCTTGCAGTTCAAAAATAACCAGCAAAAGGGTTTAGGATACGATAAAGTGCCTCCTCCTTTCAATCATAAATATCAGTATTTCCCTGTGTCTAAAGAGGAGATTGCCAACGAACCATTCATGGTTTATGGCAAACCAGCTGGTTTTGTTTCAGGAGGCATTATTAATGTTGAAAATACTAATGTTTCTACTTCCCATGCAGATCAATCCTTAAATCAATCAAAGCAAGAAGTTGAAGGATATGTTTCTGATAATAAAATTGTGTCTGAACTTGTTGTTTCTGTTTCGAATGAAAACTCTATTGTTTCTGATGTTAAAATTGATGATACATCTTGTGATGTTTCTGCATCAGATCATGTTGAGTTAAATTTTTTTGACATATTTGATGATTTGTTTGAAAATACTGATGTTCCTGTTTCTAGCACATCTACTTCATGTGCAGGTAAAGTAGCAGAGGATGAGAACAAGGAGAACACCATTGAACAAACCAACATCTCCTTGAACTCTGAATATGTTTCTTCGAACTCAGCTGCTTCTGATCAACCTGCTGTTGAGAAATACAGGCCACCAAATCAAGTGAAACAACCGACGGCTTGTTGCAAGCGTGCATGTGGGAAAAATCAAAGACAAGGCAAGGATACGCCACCAGGGGCAGGAAGAAACAACTTCACAGTGAAGAAAAAGACATGTTTTCACTGTGGAACACCTGGACACATTGCCAGAAATTGTCGTAATCGCGCATATGTTCCCTACTATGCACAAGGCCGACAGAACGCGCCAAGAGGGAGATACTCCAAAAGAAACCCCTCAAGGTCACATTCAGACAATGGTGACTGGGACGCGCAGAAGGCCAAGAATCAAACCCACAAGGCCAAGAATCCGAATCCCAAAGGCAAGAAGGGAATGTCGGCCAAGAAGCCCAATAAAAGAGATGCTCCAGTGAAACAAAGACCGGTTAGGTCAAAGTCATCTTAACGGCCGACATCAAGATCAAAAGCAAGTACTGAGCCACCCATCAGATCGAAAAAGAAATGGGTTAAACCCAACTACAAATGGGTTCCAAAGGCTCACTCTCCCAAATCTTCTAACGATTCTAATATTTTTACATCTTCTGTTTGTGATAAGCAGGACATGTCATGGGAGAGAGTACTATGCAAGAATGACAAAGGTCAACCCAGTTTCAAAATGGATTGGGTTCCAAAGACCAACTAATCCCGCTCTGTGTCGGAGCAGCTATGGAGGCATATCATCAGACTTCGGTTTGTTGGTAGTGGCTGTTCAAGGCACAAGATAGGGGGCATCTCTCAACTGTACAACATTCATAACTTTGTTTGGGAGTATGTGTACTTTGCGGGAAAGGAAGAAAAGAAGGGATCACAAATGGGGTTAGTGCTTAATGACATGAAGAATTTTTGGATCTGTTATGAGATTATGCGTGTTGTTCTCAAACCTTCTGGATGCAAATTCAATCGGTGAATTACGGTTTGCGTTTTCTTCTCTATACTACTGAGTTTATCTTACTCTGATTCGTTTTAAAGACAATTTTTCTTTTTCTTAATAGTTTTTCATTAGTAGTTATTATTAGGAAGTGATATGAAGTGCTAAAGGGCAATATGCAATTCGTGTAATGCACTAAAGCTGAATGGTCTAGACTCTGTATTCAATGTGCTGGTAGGCACAAAGGATTCAAATGGACTAGACATTGATTGACCATGAAAGGACTAGACAATATAGACTTAGATAGTTTCATTTGGACTGACCATACGACGCTCGGGTAGATTGAGCAGTGAGATAAACATGGGAACCTGCGAGATACACTAAAAGTTAATTATCTAGAACTGTGGCTCAACATTTCCTTGATGTATGGACTTATGTCCTTAATTCCGATATTGATAGGGCAAATGGGGGGTTCTGATAAAGTAGGTCTGTAGGAAATTATTTTCTTTCTTTCTATCTATCAGTCATATGTTGCTTCCTTTGCGTGATTGGAACATATCCGACCTGGATTGCAACATATGCAACTCTAATTCTACGCATCTCCTTATCTATGAAATTCTTTCTATCTGTTAGTCATATGTTGTCCCCTCTGCGTGATCAGAAGATCTGACCTGGGACACAACATATGCAACATTCTACATCTCAATCCTTCTATCTCTGTTAGTCATATGTTGTTCCCTCTGTGTGATTGGAAGACATCCGACCTGGGATACAACATATGCACTTCTATGTCTGACTTCTTTCTTAATGATTGAATACTCACCTAAAGTAAGGAGTTCTTTGGAAGTTCTTGATTACTGGGGTATATCAGGAAGTGGGAAACATGTACTAGTACATCTAAAATTGAACCATTTAATAGGTTGTCTGTACATCTTGCTGCTTAATTTAAGTGGTCAACAATATCCTTGGTCGTCGTCAGCTAAATGTCCATTTAGGAATATATATCACAATGACTTGTCACCTATAATATGTCCAAATTGTCAACATCCTTTGTGTTTAAGTGGACCACAATACCGGTGATTGACCAGATCTAGACATGCAGGAGTGTGCTGATAAACGATATTGGATTGCTTGACACCTTTGATCTCAAATATTTTTGTTTTTGTTAAATTTGTTCATAGTTTTCCTCTATGAACAAATTTAGGGGGAGAATTTAAAAAAAAAAAATCAAAAATCAAATAAAAATAAAAAAATTCAAAATAAAAAAAAATAGTGTTATATTTTGTTTTATTTCTTGTTCAAGAAAATCAAAAATCCAAAAATATTTTTGTTTCTGTTTTATTTTTTTTTTCAGAAAATATGAAAAACCCAAAAATATTGTGTGCTAAATTTTTTTTTAGTTTTGTTTTGTCTTGAAAAGTGAATTCAGGTGAAGATGAAACTCATGGAGTTTGTGTCGAAGATTTCTGAGCCAAGGCTTCATTCGTGATCATTGAAGAATTCTCATTCGAAGGAGCAAGAAATGAAGATTATTCTTTCAATATTCAATCCTTCAACCCCAGAAGCAAGGTGTAGCTGACTTGAAGATTATGTGACAGATTGCATTGAAGCCTCCTCAATCAATTTGCTGCTATCTTGTACCTGCTGAAGTGATACAGAAGATTAGTTCTCTCTGATGTTCTCTCTGAAGATTCTGAAAGCGCTATCTTTCAAGAATCAGTACAAGAAGCCTCCTCACCCAATGTGCGTTCAATGTCAAATTCTGAAGAAAAGCCCAACTGCTCAAGATGAAGTCATTCATTAAAGATTCATCTAGTTCATCTTGAAGCTGTGAAGAATTTGAAGATTGATGCTGAAGCCAAGCTCCCACTGAATATTAACAAGAAAAGCCAGCTACTTTTTAGGGGGAGCTTGTTGGGTCAATTAAGAAAAGAAAGCTATAAACCAAGGGGGAGATTGTTGGGTCAAAAATATGGTTTATACGTTGCTTTTCTAGGAAAATGTATTTTTATGTCTAGGACCGTAAACAACTCAGTGTTTACGGCCATATATGTGTTTACGGTCAGTGTTTACGGCCGTAAACAGGTTTACGGCCGTAAACAGGTTTACAGCCGTAAACCCATTCACGGCCCATGTCTACTATATATAGGGTGAGGAGTGCATAATTGCCATAGAATAGAGGAGCTTAAATGTGTGCATTTGAAGGTGTTTTATAGAGAGAGAAAAGAGAGTGTGTGTTAGTGTGTGTGAATCTTGTATCCGGATCTTCATTCATATTAATACATACAAGATTCATCATCTTCTTCTTCTCCTTCTCTTCTAAATTGATCTGACATCATCAATTTAGGGGGAGCTTGTTGGGTCAATTAAGAAAAGAAAGCTATAAACCAAGGGGGAGATTGTTGGGTAAAAAATATGGTTTATACTTTGCTTTTCTAGGAAAATGTATTTTTATGTCTAGGACCGTAAACAGCTCAGTGTTTACGGCCATATATGTGTTTACGGTCAGTGTTTACGGCCGTAAACAGGTTTACGGCCGTAAACCCATTCACGGCCCATGTCTACTATATATAGGGTGAGGAGTGTATAATTGCCATAGAATAGAGGAGCTTAAGTGTGTGCATTTGAAGGTGTTCTACAGAGAGAGAAAAGAGAGTGTGTGTTAGTGTGTGTGAATCTTGTATCCGGATCTTCATTCATATTAATACATACAAGATTCATCATCATCTTCTTCTCCTTCTCTTCTAAATTGATCTGACATCATCCGTTTGATTGGGATTCTGCACCATCAAACAGATCTGATTGATACACAAGCAGATTAGGGACTTACAAAAAGTCAGGGCCACTATTGGAAATTCTCTTCCATACCATGTGTATCATCTCGTACAGAATTATGAATCAGCCCAAGAGATGATGGAAACGTTGGCGGTGGCTTATGGAGGCACTGTGGAAGTCCAGGCTACGACCATCAACAACCTTAATCGAAGATACGAGCATTTCTTTGCTCAACAATGTGAGTCTCTTTCTCAAACCTACAATAGGTTTAATTATTTGGTCAATGATATGCGCAGGTTAGGAATCATTAGGCACTCATCACAGTTGGTTCTAAATTTTCTCGATTCTCTTGGGAAGAGCTGGGAACATCACGTTCATGTTCTTAAGATTGGTGAGAAGATCGATTCCATGGATTTGAATTCGTTGTTCGGTAATCTACGAAATTATGAAGAGACCAAAGCTCTTCGTAAGGAAATCATGAAGGACTCAGACAAGGAAAAGTTTGTTGCCCTGATGTCTCGAAAGGAAACAATAAAGCACATCAGTGAATCAGAAAATTCAGATCAGTGCAAACAAAGTGATGAAGATCTCACCAATGAGCTTCTTGCCAGCGTTGCACTTATTGTCAAGCCTTATAAAGAAAGCAGAGCAAATAGGGTTAGAAGAGCTCAGTTCAAGGGAAGTAACTCAGTGAAAAGATCCACCTCATAGAATAAAGGCTCAGGTAACTACTTTAATTTTTGAAGCCCTGATCATTTTTCCAGGGATTGTGTAACATCCCAAAATTTGTGACCAAGAACTCCATTTTTAATTAAGTAATCATAAAAACCATTAGTCTGAAAACATTAATAGTGTCATCCCCTTTCATAATCAAACCAGTATACCAATTATCAAAACATGTCATAAAAGATAATATCAGAGTACAACTCCCAAAGATCTCGTCATGCGGAAAATCATAGTGTGATGTGTTGCGATCATGCCGTCTCCTTTCCTTTTGAAAAAGAAGTACCTAAAACCAAAACTGAAAATCGTAAGAATGAAGCTTAGTGAGTTCCCCCATCATACCACATACGATACAATACACATACTGCCTAGCATATCCGGGTGCTGGCCTACCCCTTTGGTCTCTTTCAACCGGTAACTGCCTAGCATATCAGGGTGCTGGCCTCCCTTTTGGTCTCTTTCAACTGGTAACTGCCTAGCATATCTGGGTGCTGGCCTACACCTTCAGTCTCTTTAAACCAGTAACTGCTAGCATATCAGGGTGTTGGCCTACCCCTTCGGTCTCTTTCAACCGGTAACCGGGGATTATTTCACCCCTACCACTACCACATAATAGCATACATAAGCATACTGTCAGGCATATCTGGGTGCCCGACCTACCCCTTCGGTCTTATTGACCGGATACGGGGTCTATTTCACGCCTACCACTATCACATAATATCATAGCATACTAGCACATAAATCATAACAAATAGCAGCATACCAAATAATTATCAAAAAGACAATCGTCTAACTATAAATTCCTACTAGTGGGTCGGCCTTGGTGCCTTAGACCCACTTCTACCGGGAAGGTAACTCACCTCACACTGCTGAAGTCCACTGCAGGAAATCCTTAGTTGCTGTCCTGGCAACTCCCTGGGCTATCAATACCAAAATAATACCCAATTATCAATTGGGTTCCAAACCATGATCCATAATCCATACTTGGGGTGAAATGACCGTTTCACGCCCGACCCATCAAGGCTCAACTATAAAATCTATGAAAGCCCATCAATGGCCCAATTTTCCAAATTAGGCCTAAACCCTTACATGAAACTACCCTTTAGCACTCTTTCTGTACTGCATAACCCTAAAGGGGTCAACCTTCGTCAAAGTCAAGTCAAGGTCAAAGTCAACATCCAAGTCAAAGTCAAAGTCAACGCTCCGAGTTGACTCAACTCGTCGAGTTATTACATGATCACAAAATTCTGATTACGTGATCCAACTCGTCGAGTTCTTACATGAACTCGTCAAGTTCTTCCTTATCTAAAGAATCGGGTCATACTCACATCAAATCGTCGAGTTACTTTATGAACTCAATGAGTTCTTCAGTCTGTTTACTCCTTCTTAGTGCATTAAGCCTTTATTCTTCAGATCTAAACCCAATACTCTAGATCTAGACTGGAAATACCTTTTAGAAGGGTAAAGTTTCCAACTTTAGCCATTAATCCCTTCCTAAAGAGAACAAGTTCAAACCTTAGCCCAAAAAGGGTCAAAGTCTTAATCCAAAACCACCAAAACTACAAGGTAGACCATGAGGTCATAGATTTGGACCATAAGAACCAGGATATCACGTAAAGTCCTAAACATTACCCACATGCATGGCCATTTGGGGCTTGAAAGGCCAAAACAAGATCTTAGTGGTTGCATGGGACTTCTAGGGCCACAAAGTTGGCACCTTTATGCCATGAGAGCCTCTCAAGGTCCTAGATCTGAAGTGTTCTTCACTTGGGACGTCCACCTCCTCAATAATCATCTCCTTTGGACCAAAACAAGCAAAAAGGCACTAAATGAATATCCAACTAACCATAGAGCAACGTTCAAGATTTTTACCAGAAAAATGTCGAGAATGAGGCAGAGGTTCTGGATCTAGTAACTCCTTCTTGTTCCTCAAAACTTCCTTTCCTTCCAATAGCTTCAAAACACCCAAAAAATGCTCAACAAAGCTCACAAACAATCAACTATGCTTCTAGGGTTTCGAGATTAGGGTTTAGGACTTGGAGGCTGGAAATGAGGCCAACATAAGAGGTTTAAGTTGTTTAAATAGTGTGCAAAAGCCTGGATTTAGGGTTTTCCAGACCCCGTCCAACTCGTCGAGTTGGTCCCCTCCAACTCGTCGAGTTGATCTTTCAAAAACACGCCGCCTTGATTTCCAACACGTCGAGTTCTTCCCCATGGACTCGATGAGTTGGCTTTCTATTTGAATGTTTTTCTTTCCTTAATCAGCCTTCTAGATTTCGGGTGTTACAACTCTCCCCTAGTTTAACTAGACTTCGTCCTCGAAGTCCTCTGTAGTCACCTGCCCCGAAAACAGCTCACGCGCTACGCCCGCGACTCCCACTAATCACCATGAACCAACTGATGTTTCCCACGAGTACTGACACCCGCCATCTTGAGGGTAGAACCATCACTCCCACACAATCAATGGCCTTCCCAAGGCAAACGAAACTTCTATCCTGGAAATAACACCCGAACCTTCAACCATTGCAAGCCACTTCTACCTTCTGAAACTTTGAAACCTACAATAAACTGACTTTCTAACAGCTTGTCCGTGCTGAAACAACTCTCCGTCAATCTCTCAACTGATGGAAAAACCATTCATAACCCTTCCAACTTTGATCATACAACGAATCCTTAGCATAATTCTTCAACCCCGGTGAAGAACGAATCCTCAATCTCTCAAATAAAACCAACCATACTTCGCTTGAAATTCGAAGCCTAAGTCTCCATGGACTGACTCCCTGTCAGATCTGCCACCCAACCAACCTCATAGAGCCTCGCACCACACAAATTACTTCCAATCCCTGATCACATTGCTCACTCGAACGGAGCAAAATCATTGACCGTATACCGCTGCAAAATCACCTTCGAGTAGAAGATTCATCCCTACAACGGTTAGACTCAGACGAGAGCGGCGCAACAAGGTCGGATCATTTACTCTAAGATTATTTAATCCTGCTATGAGTGACTTAGCATTACCCAAGCAATCAATTACCCATCCATACATGAAATCCTAAAACACTAATACTGCCAAGCATATCTGGGTGCTGGTGTCACGGGCTGATATCGCGTGACCATGTTGACCAAGAAGTCAAAGACCATGCCACTGGAATAGCTTGCCATTGGGTTCAAAGGGGGGCATCCTATCCCAAGGGACGTTGTTATGCTAGTCATTTCTGTCTAGTCGAGTCGCTGAAGTGCGTGACAATGAAGGGGGCCGTAGCGTTCTAGAGATACAACTGGTCGGGGGCTAGTGTCGCTTCCGTGATGAGCCCATGGCAGGGCGAAACGATTTGGTGTGTATAACATGGGAGGAATGGTATCAGGGTTTTATGGGGGACCTCGATATGCCGTACGGGCAAGGAGTAATGTCGAACTTGCGTCCGTGACAAGTGGTATCAACGCCAACCGACGAAGGGACATTCCAGTATGATCGTGCATATTCGTGGGGTCCGTAGAAGTATGGACTTGATGGTGGGTTTCTACGACGTCAAGAGCAATACACCGATGAATGCTCTACCTCCTTGAAGTAAGTAATGGGGGTGGCCACATGCCAAGGATTCCGACTTTGAATTATAACGGTTGGGATCCAGTGTAGCGGTACGCGATCATACTTGGCATCAGAAGAAAGGTCATTTCGAAAGGAGAAAAGTTCTTGTTCCATCGCACGAGGACGTGCGACAATTTTGTGTTGGGAGTATCACGGGCTGATAACCCGTGACCGTGTTGACTAAGAAGAGAAGACCATGCCACTAGAATAGCTTGCCATTGGGTTCAAAAGCGGGCGTCCTAGCCCAAGGGACGTTGTTATGCTAGTCGTTGTTGTCTGGCTGAGTCGCTAAAGTGCGTGACAATGAAGGAGGCCGTAGCATTCTAGAGATACAACTGGTTGGGGGCTAGTGTTGCTTCCCTAATGAGCCCATGGCAGGGCGAAACCAGTTGGCGTGTGTAACATGGGAGGGCTGGTATCGGGGTTTTATGGGGGACCTCAATACGTCGCACGGGAAAGGAGTAATGCCGAATTTGTTTCCGTGAAAAGCCTCCCCTTCGGTCTATTTCAACTAGATACTGTCGAGCATATTTGGGTGCTCGACCTACCCCTTCAGTCTAACCTGACCGGATACTGACGAGCATATCTGGGTGCTCAACTTAACCCTTCGGTCTAACCCAACCGGATACTACCGAGCATATCTAGAACCGTCCGAAACAGCATGCTGCCTCCTGGTTGCTGTCCAAAATCCACCGAGACCTCCCTGGTCTCAATTCGTCTGCCAGTCATCTGATATATCAGGTTTCTGCCTGATTACTTGAGCCAAAAGACTCCCACACAGTCGCCCCCACATGACTTTCGAATGAAATCCTCATCTTTCAATACTTGTCATTAGTTATCTTGCCACTATGGCTCTAACGACCTTCTGATCTAACCGATTAGGTCCATACGTCAAATCCTGACATCACCAAGTCCAAGGCTAAAAGTGAATGCTACATGATCAAAGGTAGCCTTATATCAAAAATGACCTTATACGGTCCACCGTTTCCTTGATCCCATGACTGCAGTGGTGTCCCTACGATATTATCACCGGATCAACCAGGTCTAATTCATCTGGGGAAATACGTAACCAATCCGTGGATTTTCCACGCCCTCACTGCTGCACCCGAACTGGCGCCGTTACGGTTCTTCCTGCGATCTAACAAAACTCCCATGCTATCTAACAACCTAGTTAACGCTACGGCTACCCCCGCAGTCTTACCACATTTCCCATGTTGTCTAGCCGCTGGTGAATCCTACGGCTAACCCGCAGTCTTACACCACCTTCCACATTGTCTGGCCTCTGGTGAATGCTACAGATAACCCGCAGTCTTACAACACCTTCCACATTGTCTCAACCGCTGACCATGGTCTTACTGCTGATTACCAATCCGAACACACCCGAAGTCGAGCACACACT